CCCTCCAGGAAGAAGATTATCAGGATGGGCAGGGGGATGCCCCAAGGTAAGGATGGGAAAATGTCAGTGCCCATCCTGGGGTCCCCCCACATCGAGGTGGCAAGGGACTGGTCCTCAGCAGCGTTTTTCCCCACCCCGGGGTGTAGAGGGCAGGAAGGACTGGCTGACATCTTATCGCTTAAGCCCTTCCCCTGGTTTGGAGCCAGGCAGCCCCTCCTCTTATCACAGAAACAGGAGGGCCAGAGCCAGCACCCTGGCAAGGCCAGGTCAAGGTGATCACATGTACCCTCTGGGTAAAGCAGAGCACCTGAGCTGGCAGGGGGAGCAGCATGCTCAAGGTCACTCAGCAAACTGGTGGTTCAGGCACCTACAGTGGAACCACTGCTAGGCTGGGGGAGGACCTGGCTCCCTGCTCTCCCTCCACCACTTCACCTTCCACGTGGAGCCATCAATGAATAACTTGGACATTTCTCAGGCTTCCAAGGAAGGGTTCCTTAGACTTTCCAAGCTGTCCCTGCATCTCCCCAGGCCTTGGGGGAGTGAGGTCCCCTCTCTAATTGGCCTTAATTAACCTCTGAACCTGGGACCAGGGGAGGGAAGATCAGTGACCTGATGGTGGATTGAGAGTCAAAAAACTGGATCCTGGTTCTGTTCCCCCATCTGGGGACGGCTCCTGATCTATAAAATAAGAGGCAGGACTCTTAGGTCCTTGATGCCACTATAGCAGCTCCCGAACCAACCTCCCTTGGTCACCCCAGGCCAGCAGGCTCTGCAGCAGGAACAAAGAGGCAGAGCCTGGCTGGAGAATCTGGGAGCTGCTGAGGGTACTTCCCTGGGCCTGGCTGCTGGCAGAGAGGGGGTGAGCATCATTGAGGAAAGGGGCTGCTGATGGCTGATGGCCGGGGGAAGATCCCAGGGAGTGAGCAAAGGACTGTAACATCGCACTGACACCGCCTGGCAGCCTCAGAAGGCAGAGCTGCCGATCCCCATTCTAGCAAGGAGCTAGGTACTCACCTGTAGAGGCTCAGGGGGCCTATGTGTAAGTGCCTTGCCCCGAGCTTCCTGCTGGGAAGTGGCGAGTTAGGTCTAGGACCAGTCTTTTTTCTTTTAATTTTTAGTTTTCTATTGGAGTACAGTTGACATACGTGTTATATGAGTTTCAAGCGTGCAACATAGTGATTTGACACTTTTTATACCGAGGACTGGTCTGATTACAAATCCTAGTACATCTGCGGTGCCAAGGCTGTTTTGACATCATTATTCCATAATTTTCAATTACCCACATTCCTGGAAGGGGCCATTGACCAAAACCATTAAGTGACCAGGCCAATTAGTGTATTTCAGTCTGGCTCTGGGATGTATCTGGGACTTCTTTTCTCTTGGCAGCCATATGCCATTCTGGAGAAATGTGCTCAGGCTGAGTTCTGGAAAGCCCAGGCACAGCTCTGCCGAAGCAAGCGGGGAGGGCAGGCAGTTTGCTGGGATTAAAACACAAGCTTTCCTGTGCTGCAGCTGTCCCCAGGAAATGGGGACACATCTCCACCCCCAGTGCCCAGGAATCGCAGGCCCAAGATGGGCTTCGCCCTCCCCAGCCGGAGCTGTAGGCGAGGCGGCAGGCTCAAATCGCGCCCTAGGGGTTGGCAGCAGATGCAGGAAGGGCCTTCCCAGGCCAGTTTCCCTCCAGCCTCTCCTTTCTGTTGTCTCATCCTTTCCTGCCTGTCCCTGGGCCTGGGAACAAAAATCTTCCCTGGGGGCATTGAGTGTCCTCCAGAAAGACAAGGTGAAAAGGCACAAATGGGAGAGCAGAAAGGCCTATACAGGGCAGCCCACTGTGACCGTGGCCCTCCCCCTCCACCCCGACCTCTCCAGCCTCCTACTGCCCCCCTGGCATCCTGGCCCTAGCTAAGGCTTCATCTCTTGCCTCTGTCTCTCTGTCTCTGTCTTTGACTCCCTCTGTCTCTGTGTCACCCATCACAACTCCCACGTCAGGCTCCTAAGGCTCCAGGCCATCCTGTGTGGGTGACAAGACAAGCCTTCCTCAAGCTTTTTGCTCATTTGACTAGCAACAGCCAGCAGCCCTAGATGGAGCACCAGCTCAGGGCCAAGCCCGGTGCCAGGCACGGGGTTCCGCAGTGAACAGGCTGCGGCAGACGCCTCGGGAAGCTTGCCACGGAGCCAGCAGTCAGAAGATGAAGTGTTTGGAGCCTCCAGAACACCCGCAGAGGGACCACTGGGGCTCACGTTCTCGCCATGCCAGCTGTTCGCCGCTGCTCGCTAAGCCTGTCATTCAAGGCTCTGCAGACTCTGGCCTTCCACTCCCTCCTGGCTGCCCCTCTCTCTGGCCTGCCTGGGTCTGTGGCCCATCACCAGCCCTTTTATTCTCTCTCTCCCTCCTCCATGGAAAAGCAGCATGGTGTAGGGATTATCAAGACAGAAAACCTGGGTTTGAGTCCAGACTGTCAGCTTCTGTCTTAGCCTCTCCCAGCCTTAGTTTGCTTGTGGTTCAAACAGGCACAGTTGCAAAGCCTATTGCCTTGGGCCTGTACACAAATGTCAGTTGCTATTTTTTTTTTTTCCCCGTAGTCTTCTTTCCACTCTCATTGACTGATCCCAGGTCCCATTCCCTCCGGACTTTGCTACAAGACTGATTTTTTTTTCCAAAGATGTTATTTGTTTATTTGAAAGACAGCATGAGCAGGGGTGGGGGGCAGGGGGAAGAGGAATTGGAAGAAGCAGACTCCCCACTGAGCAGAGAGCCCGATGCAGGCTCTATCCCAGGACCCTGAGATCAGGACCGGAGCTGAAGGAAGACAGTTAACCCAGTTAACCGACTGAGGGCACCTCTACAGAACTGATCATTAACCACGTTAATGAATCTAGGTTTTGCAGGGCAACGATGATGATGGGTTAACTCTTCAAGGGTCTGTGCACTTAGCTAGGGGCAGCCACGCTTTACTGCAGACTGGTGAGCCAGGTGGTGGAAAGGTCACCCCATCCCATGTGCCAGTTCAACAGGGAGAATGGTTGAGGGGGAGACAGAGGACCCACTTGCCATCCTTGAAGTCAGGCTGCCTGAGGGAAAGACAGAGTGAACGATCATGAGAAGCCAGCCATTTTCATCACCTGCAGAAATGTGGGCATCCCCTCTCTGCTGGGTGCCAGGGAGCAGAGGGAGACTTGAGGCCAGGTTGCGGGAGGCAGATATTCAGGAAGGTCAGCGCGCAGCCTGGGCGTTCAGCTCCAGGGGCCGGCAGAGCAGGGGTGCCAGGTAGAACTGGGGCCAGGAGAGACCCGAACAGGCCTCCCCACAACACCATCCTCCCTGTCCTCCTCCTAGTGGCTGGGGTGAAAGGTCATGGGAGTCCCCCCTTCCTGCTCAGAGCTGGGAACAGACAGGGGTCATGATCAGTGATCTCTCCAAGAGATCAGTCTGAGAATAAGAAAAAATAATGAACTAGTGCTATCAGCAGAGCCCTTCTGACAGAGGATTTGATCAAAGACAGGCCAAGCACAGAACCAGAGGGGTCAGAGGCAAGAACCTCTGGGGAAAGATGTAGCCTGGGAGCTCTCCTGGGGGCCTCTCTCTTTGCCCTAATGTGCTGGCAACAGACCAGTCTTCTTGCCACAGGCCCCTGCCCCGTTTTCAGGTCCAGCAGCCAGAACAACTGTTCATAATCTGAAAATTATAGCTCTCTCTTCCAGAACCTTTTTTTTTTTTTAAAGTAAGCTCCAGGCCCAACATGGGGCTTGAACTCATAACTCTGAGATCAGGAGTAATGTGTTCTGCCAATGACCCAGCCAGGCGTCCCCAGAACCTTCTTGCTATCCAATGTCCTTTACCCACATCAGTCTTTCAGAGTGGTTCTGGAAAATACAAGGCATCCTTCTTTCCTTAGAGTCTGGTTATTAGGTAGGGTGTACCAACAAGACCCTGATGGAGCCCCGGACGGTCCGTCTACTCGCCCACTTGTGCGGGAACAGGCCCTCAGCCTGCCTGTTGTGGGCTCCTCTGCGGGAAGGTCACCTACCAGACACCTCTCAGTGAGGACAGCCACCAGTCCTCCCTTCCAGAAACTTGCGGAGCCAAGATCTCTGCCCAAGGGCTGGAGGGAGGAAGGAAGGGTGCCAAATTACCCAAATTCCTTGGCTGAGAGCTTTGGTTCAGGTGGCTTAGTTGACATCTGTAAAGGGCCTGGCCGTTTTGCCCTTCCTGTGTGGGGAGAGCGCATTGCAGCCCAGCTGGTGCGGGTGGGGGTGGGGGGTTCGGGTTCTACCCCGTCCCACCTCCAGGTTGGTGCATATGGCACAGTACCCAGAGACACTCAAAGTGGATTCCCCTCGCACATCCATGAGAGGGACAGAAATATCTTTGTATATTATAGTTTATAAGTAAACTATTATTTTCCTTTTTTTAAAGATTTTATTTGAGAGAGAGAGAGAGAGAGCATAAACATAGGGAGGTAGGGAAGGAGTAGGCTCCCCACTCAATCCCAGAACGCTGGGATCATGACCTGAGCCAAAGGCAGACAGACGCCTAACAGACCTAGCTCCCCAGGGGCCCCTTATTTATTATTTTAAAGACTTTCTTTTTAAGTAATCTTTACGCCCAGCGTGGGGCTCGAACTCACAACCCTAAGATCAAGAGTTACAGGCTCTATCAACTGGGCCAGCCAGACACCCCTGTCAGTAAACAATTTAAAATTGCTTGTAAGTAAAACAGTAGCGGTTACGCTTTGTTAGGTGTGCACGGTGTGCCACCTCACACGGTTTCTTGAGTTCTCACAGCCACCCTATGAGGAGGGATGGTTACCTGGGAAGACCAGGGCACAAGAAACTTCTCGCCTGCAAACCTCTAGTGAGTGACAGAGCTTCTTCCACAGTCCCCTCCCCCCTTCCACCAGAGGCTTCTCCAAGGCTGTCCAGCCAAGGGAGGCCATGGAGGAGGCTCTTGATTTGAAGGCTCTAGGCAGCCCCTTGACCTCACCCTTCTACCACTGCAGCCTGGCCCAGTCGCTATGGGCCCTCTTCACATCTTCCCTGGCCATCTCACTGGTGTTTGCCGTCATCCCCTTCTGTCGAGACGTGACGGTGCTGGCCTCTGTCATGGCGCTGGCGGGCCTCGCCATGGGCTGCATCGACACCGTGGCCAACATGCAACTGGTGAGGATCTACCAGAAGGATTCAGCCATCTTCCTTCAGGTGAGCCCACAGGCGGGCATGGGGCTGGGTGGTGGGCAGCCACGGGGGTGGGGGGTCCCTGGGTGCTCTCACCTCTCCCAGTCCCCTCCCTGGGGCTGGGTGTCTTTTCATATAGGCCAGGTGATGGTGCAAAAAGGGCACCAGGGACTCAGTTCGGTGTGGCTACCACCAGCTGGGCCACACTGGGACGCTCTCTCTGGCCTTGAGTCTCGTTGTCTCTAAAATGAGGTCATGCTCCCTGTGCAGAGTGGTCACAGGAATCCAGGTGCTCCGGAGAAGAGCTTCTTTGTGAACTGGAGAGTGCCATGATGGCAGGGTTTCTTGCTGCTTTCTTGGCTCCATCCCCCTCTCTGTCTTTCTCTTCCTGTCCAGTCCTTCCCTTTATCAAAAGCTCCCCTTCCCTCTGGGGTGGTAGCTGGGTGCGGTTAAGTTTTGGGAAAGAAGGAAGTGGGAGAGATGGGAATCGCCACTGTCACCACGTTATCCCAGGGCCAAGACAGTGGTTGAGAGGAACTTCTCTGCTCCCCCCTCTGGGGCCAGGCAGGGGCTCTCCAGATGGGGCACGGGGGGGGGATGGGCTATGAAGCCTGGGCCATCCCCCACCCATACCACTTCTCTTCTCTCCCCAGGTTCTCCATTTCTTTGTGGGCTTTGGTGCTCTGCTGAGCCCCCTTATTGCCGACCCCTTCCTGTCTGAGGCCAACTGCTTGCCCGCCAACGGCACAGCCAACAGCACCTCTGGCAGCCACCTCTTCCATGCGTCCAGGGTCCTGGGCCAGCACCACGCTGAGGCGTGGCGTTGGTCCAACCAGTCGCTCTCCAGGCTGCCTCCGCAGGATGGAGCAAGGACCCGCGTGTCGTACGCCTTCTGGATCATGGCCCTGATCAACGTGAGTGCCACTAGGGCAGGGCTGGGTGGGGACAAGTGGGCAACCACACATGCCAGTCCGCACCAGCTCCCAGCATAGATTCTTCTGATTCTGAGCAATGTGCTGCTGGGCTGAATGTGCCCTCAGGAAGGCAAGAGCATGGGAAGCTGAGTCCCTTAGGGATGCATCCGAATGCGAAGGTCGCAGGAGGACATCTTGAAGGTCCTCAGTTGTGACAATCTATGATTGTGATCTCAAGGGAGGTAGCGCCGTGAGCAGGTTCAGCATGATGGAATCAGGGTTAACTTTCAAGCCATCTGAGACTCCAGGGGAAACCAGCTCTTTTCCTCTGAGGCCAGATGAAGTAGATCCTGGGACGGCGCACCGTAGGACCCGTAGGCTCTTCCCCGGGTCCTTCATCGCCGCTAGGATTCTCCGGTGCCCTGCTGTGAGGTGGGCTCCTGTGAAGGCCAGGGGATGGACACGATAACTTCCGGGATCCTGCCTACACCAAGGCTGCCCTGGGGCAGAGCGACCACTCGCCGTGATGGCGTCAGTTACTGAGGCCGCTCTGCACCCCAGCTGTCATCTTCCCCTGTCAGCCTGACTCTGTCTCTGGCTGGAAAGCTCTGGTGCTCTGCAACCCTAGACAGGGCCCCCAGAGTAGCACAGGCTAGGGCCAGAGGCACAGGCAGGGAGACTCCCCTGCCCTCTCTCCAGCTTGGGAAGCACTTGTCAGGAACACCAGGAGTGGCCCTGGCCTCCTGGCTTGGGCCCGCCTGGGCCGGAGGTGTGGAGTATTCCAGATGACCATTTCCCTGGGTGATGGAGGCACCTGATGGCTTGTCACGACTTGGGGCCTCGGTGTGCTCCAGGAGGCAGGCAGGCTAGGTTGGGGCACCCAGCTGCTGTTGGGCCTCAAAGCGATGGGGTGCATATCGCAATGAAAGGGGTCTTTGAGATCATCCAGTCCCACTGAGCACGAGGGCAGGGGTGTCATACTGTCCCTGGTGCAAGGGCCTGGTAAGTGGCTAGGAAAACGTTGCCTAGACTGGAACCCTGACTCCCCGCACAAACCCCCTTCCTGTCTCTGTGCCTGGCGGTGCTTGTTTTCCCTTTCTTCTCCTTTGTAACTTCCCTTTCCTTGTACTAGAATCTTCACTCAGGGCTCTCAAAAACGCTCGCCCCTCTTTTGCTCTGTTTTCTGCCCATGCCAATCATTGCTTTGAAAACGATACAGCTCTGGGCCTGTGGCTTCCAAGGGCCACCTGCAAGGGGAAGGAGTAATCGCCAGTACCATGTCGAAGCTGAGACTCCAGCACCAGGAAGCCAGAAGGTCCAGCTTAAGCTGAGGGATGTTTTTCTCTTGCCCCTCAAGGTGTAGACTGGAGGCACTTTGTTTGCAGCAGGATTTCCGGACTTTTTATATTGGTTTGTTTCTGAAGATAAACAGTCCACCAGAGGAGAGAATGGGGCTGTGCATGTTCACACACACACACACACACACACACACGCACACACGCACACACGCACAGCCCACCCAGCACTCTCTGACTCTTGAGGTGGAGCTTGCCTTCTCTGAATGGGCTACTTACAAAGACAGGGTGTGTTCTGACCGGCCCACACCAGCCAATCCCCCGTGGAGTCCTTCCCACCACCCGCCTCCCTGGAAAGCCCCTCTGCAGTGACCAGGCTGTTGTACAGCTGCTTCCCCTTGGCCTTCACCTTGGCATCCAGCCATTGCAGGCCTCTGTGTGATGGTTTCCTGTTTCCCCCATCGGACTGGACTGGCAGGAGGGCTTGTCTCCCCCGTCAGACCAGGACTCCTGAGGGCAGGGCTTGTCTCCTCCCACTGGGGCCTGATTTGCAGTGCTGTCCGGGCGCTGCGTCTGACCTGGACTCATCTCTGAGTGTGGAGGGAGGCTCCCAAGGTGTCTGCACCAGGGCGGTGTCCAGAATCCTGGGAAAACAAATCCTGCTGCCTCCTGCCTCCACAGGGGCTTCACTGGCAGGCCGGAGGGGGCCCCCCACAAGGCCTCCGAGGGAGCTTCTGCAGCTCCCCGGGCTGCCTCTCTTTCCTGAGCGAAAGGAATCGGGATGAGGCTGTGGCAGGAAGGGCAGAGGTCAGACTTGATGAAGCGCTTCCTGGCAGCCAGGTGGTTAGATGCGGGCAGGGCACCTGAGGGAGGCGGTGGAGGCTTCTCCAGGCAACGGCAGAGGCAGGAGACATTTCTCATTGCTCTGGGGGGTTCTCGAAACCCAAGCAGCTCAGTGTAAATAGTGCGTGGAACGCTGGGCTTGTGTGTGCGTGTTGCTCAGAGCACTCATCTGTCAATCAAAAGCTGTGCATGTCTCTGCTTTCCAGTTTGGACACGAAGCCCCTGCGGACAGCCTCCGTACCTCCAAGGGGGCAGATAACATCACCCAGATGAGCCCTGAGGTGGCGTCGGCCCCAGACAGAGTCAGGGTGCCCGGGCTCCAACCTGGGGTGCCTGGGCTCTGCTGCACGTCAGCTGTGTGACCAGGCACCAACGCCCTCTGGGCCTGCAGCTTGCCGTCTGGTCTCTTCCCATTGTAACTGGTTATGACCGAGTGCTACCTCGGAGCCTCAGTCACCCCGTCTGGAAAATGGGGATAGTGAACAAAAGCAAGCTGTCTTTGTAAAGTGTCACATGACCTACCAGCACCAAGCAGCGTGGGGGCCATGCTTTGGCACCATTCAGAACGAGGATCTTAGGAACGAGTTTATCTCTGGCATCCCTCCTGCTCCGGAGGCCTGGTGTGAGTCCAAGTTTTGCATGTGACAAGGAGCTGTCCTCAGGAAAACGGATGTGGTTTAGGTTGGGCGGCAATTAAAACAGCCTGCCCTGGGTCAACACACCTGGCGGCATGAGCCAGGGCCGGCCTGTGAGTGGACACTTGGAAAAGAGCTGTGTGCCATCAGGACCGTGGGCGCACATGCCGCGAGGCCAGGTGGAGGCGTGTGCAGCGGGCCGGGCACGGGAAGGGGACAGCCTGATGGGACCAGGGCTCTCCTGACCCTCTGCCCACCCCTCAGCTCCCGGTGCCCCTGGCTGTGCTGTTTCTGCTGTCCAAAGAGCGGCTGCTGGCCTGCTGCCCTCAGAGGAGGCCCCTGCTCCTGTCTGCAGATGAGCTCGCCCTGGAGACCCAGCCTCCTGAGAAGGAAGATGCCTCCTCCCTGCCCCCAAAGTTTCAGCCGCACCCAGGTGGGGGCTCTAATGAACTTCCATGCCCACAGCCCCGCACCGAGGCTTCCCTTGCCCCGGAGGGTGAACACGGGTCACAGGGAATGATGGCTGGAGACGAACCGTGGCCCCTGATGGTCTCGTGAGGTCATGGAGCAACCTGGTCGAGAGTAGGGGCAGCGGGCTTCTGGTTCCAGCCTCCCCTCTGCCTAAGCCTGCCTGCGTCACCTGGGGCAAGTTCCTGGCTCTCTTGGAGTCTTGCTTCCCCCGGGACTGAGATGGGCAGGGGCTGTTGGAAGGTGGTTGGAAGCCAGAGAAGGTGGGGGGCAGTAAGTGGTCCCCATTCTGCCGGGCTCTCTACCTCCCAGCCGCTCCCCCTGGGCCTGCAGAGGAAAAGGAGCAGAAACTAAGACTCTCCCTGTTCTTGTGTCCCATCCAGGGCACGAGGACCTGTTCAGCTGCTGCCAGAGAAAGAACTGCAAAGGAGCCCCTTATTCCTTCTTCGCCATCCACATCACAGCCGCCCTGGTCCTGTTCATGACCGATGGGATGACGGTGAGCTGGCCTGTCTGCCCTGAGACTCGAGCTGGGGGTGGCAAGAGAAAGGGGAGCACCAGGGTTTCCTGGGGACCAAGCCTGTAGTACAGTCGAATCAAACATTGAAGCTAACTAAGTACAAGTCCTGGGGGACACGGGCTGCAGAGTTGTTCGCAGCCCCTTGGTGCTGTGGTCTTCTGTCCCAGCCCTCTGTTAAAGACAGGAAATAAAGTTTTCCTTAACTCTCTGGATAGGGGCTTCTCTGGTTTGCTGCCAAGTGCGGGCTACCCACCTTTTTTAAAAGGGGCAGAGCCCAGGGGCACCTGCATGGCTAGTGTTGGTTGAGTGTGTCTGACTTCGGCGTTGGTCAGGATCCCAGGGTCCTGGGATGGAGCCTCGAGTCTGGCTCTCTGCTCAGCGGGGAGTCTGCTTCTCCCTCCCCCTCTGCCCTCCCCACACACCCCCCCACCCCACCCCTGCTCATGCATGTGCTCTAGCTCTCTCAATTAAATAATTAAGTCTTTAAAAAAATAAACAAATAAAGGAGCAGAGCCCTGTTCCTCCAGGTAGAGGTCATGCCATGTAAACTTGAAGGCACTCTGCTTCCTGGAACACATTCCAAACCTGGACTTCTCAAGCCATGTTGTAAACAAGCTACAGGCAGGCTCTGGGCCCAGCTATGTATTTTATTAGTGACCTCTGTTAGACGATTTAGTGTCTTTCTCCAGAAGTCTCTTAGAATTAGAGCAGATACCTTTGAATGGCTGACTGATTAATTGATGGCCGTATCAGGGACTCTCCAGAGAGAAGGTCCTAAGAAAGAGATGACCCAGTGGAAAATACTCGTGCCAGTACTGGTTGACTTTCAACGCTGTGTGACCTTGGGCAGCTCACTTCTCTCTGCCCGCTCACTGCTCAGCTGTGAGATGAGACACTCTTACACACCTTATTTTCAGCTGTGGTACCCTTCCTTCGACAATAAACTTTCTGTGGGATCCTCCTAAATCAGGCCTGCGGTGGAACTCTGCTCTGGTTGAGGGGTGGGAGCAGTGCCCTGTAGGCCCTGACCTCTCAGGACCCCCTGTGGAGACCTGGAGACACCCACCTCCCTACCCCCCACATCCCCAGGCCTGACCCCCTGGGCAGGTGCAGTCTGTAAGCTGTGGCACCATAGGTCCTAGCCTCAGCTCCGGCCTGCGGGTGTCCTGGCTTCAAGTCCATCTTTCTTTTATTGAACCTCTAGAAGCAGGACCTGTCCTCCCTCAGCCCTCAGCACACCTGCCCCCTACCTAGGTTTCCTTTTTGGAGGGTCCGGATGCCCTGCAGGTGTGCTCAGCAGGGCCCGTCTCTCCACAGGGGGAGTATTCAGCATTTGTGTACAGCTATGCAGTGGAGAAACCGCTCTCTGTGGGGCACAAGGTGGCTGGTTACCTCCCCAGCCTCTTCTGGGGCTTCATCACCCTGGGTCGGCTCATCTCTATTCCCATCTCTTCCAAAGTGAAGCCAGCCACCATGGTTTTCATCAATGTGGTAAGTGGCCTCCTTTTACTTCTTGGAGACGCAGGAGGACCATTCTGTCCTGGCCCCACCACAGCCCCAGGACATTTGATCGGGACTAGAGTCTGCCAGCAGGATGGGAAGGTAGTAGAGGGAAGAGAGCAGAAGAGAGAGACACTGGTGAGGAGGGAACAGAAATCCAGAAGGTGGAGCCTATCTGTGTGACCTTGGGAAAGAAAGTCCCTTTCCCCCTGTGGGTCTCTGATTTTGTACCATCAAGAAAGGGGCTGCAGGAGGTGATTACTACTGTGAGTGGAACAGATCCCAGTGGACAACCAAGAGTACAGGCAAAACATGTGCTGACTTGGGTCCTCCTGTGTCACCTTGAGGCTCCGTGGGTCAGAGCCCTCTGGCCAGTGGAGACCAGGGACGCCCCCGTCCTTCAGAAATCACCGTCTCTGGGCAGCATTTTGAAACTCTCCCAGGTGCTGCTTCTTCTTCTTCTTCTTCTTCTTCTTCTTCTTCTTCTTCTTCTTCTTCTTCTTTTTCCAGGTGCTTCTTAAGTAGCCACACTGGAATGTAGGATGGCAGGCAGGGAATTGGCCTGCCTGGAAGGCAGGGGTCCAGGCAAGGGGTAGGGTTAGACTATTGTCCTGAGATGCGTCCAGGTCACCGTCAATGACAAAGGGTCTAGATTATAGATTCCTGTAAGGCCATCTAGCCCAGACTCCCTCCAGAGCTCCAATCACCTCTCTAACATCCCCTCCAGGGAGTCCACGGTCTATTTAAACATCTCCAGTGACTGGGCAGTCGCTCCCTTTCTGTGTAGCCCAACCCACTGTCAAAAAGTACTTCCTTGACTTCTTCCGAGCATTCCTGTCATTTTTAAATTAATGGTCACCCTGCTCTGTGTTCTCCTGGGTCTCCACAATCACTTCCTGGTGAATGAATATGCAGTTTGTGCAGGGTCTGTGGGGAACTGCAGGCGTGCTGAGTTGCAGGCAATGGGTCTCTGCCTTGGGGATGCTTACAGTCAGCTAGGGAAGAAGATGGGCAGGGGAGGGTGTGAGTGTGCCCTGGCCTGGAGGGTCACGATGAGGTTGGCCGGCAGGTGGGAAGCAGGCTGAGTGCCACTGGCCCAGATGGGAGAGCTCCACTGACGGGGAGGAGAGCTGGTTGGTGGAGTTTGCTAGTTGGCCTTGGGCAGGCTCTGTCTTCTGTCACCCAGGCTAAATAAAAATAAGAGAGGTGTTCTTAAAATTCCCCCAGGCCTAGAGATTTTCAGGGTGACTCTTCAAGGCTTGCCTGGAAATGTATGGTTTGTAAGTGGGGTGGCCAGGCAGCAGGAGGGGGAGCAAGAGCACCACCGTCAAAGCACTGGTCCCACCCCAGGCACACCCATTGCGAGCTGACAATCAAGAAGGTGCCAGCACCATGAGGGGTGGAGAGGTGAGTGTTCTGGGCAGAGGGCACTGCTGATTGAAAGGTCCCAAGGGGGGAGCTAGCTGGGTGGGATTGTGGTGGGCAGGGCCGGCGATAGGATGCAGAGAGAGAGAGCCGGTTGGGGAAGCAGACATGAGCTAGATCCTGTAAGGTCTTGTTTGGGGTTTTATTCAAAGTGGGAGAAAGGCCTGTAGACAGTGTTAAACAGGGAATGGACATGATCTGCTTTGTATTTTAAGAGCACACTCCAGGGGGAGGGCCTGGGTGGCTCAGTCTGTTAGGTCAGGATTGAGCCCTGCACTGGGCTCCCTGCTCAGTGGGGAGCCTGCTTCTCCCTCTCCCTCTGCCTGCCACCCCCGCTGCTTGTGCGCTCTCTCTCTCTCTCTCTCTCTCTCTCTATCAAATAAATACATACATTCATAAATAATGTTTTTTAAAAATTAAAAATAAATAAAAAAATAAAAGCACACCCCCCCTGTCGTGTGCGAGAAGAGATCTAGGAGGGGCAAGAGTGAATCACGGAGACAGCGAGGAGCCCCTCTTGCAGTCCAGGTGGTGGCAGCTGGATGAGGGTGGTCAGGATGGGTTTGGAGAGGCACAAGAGTCTACAGCATTTCTTGGGTGGAGTTGATGGGACTTGCCCTTGGCCTGAATGGAGGCGGGGAGGGAATAAGGCATTGAGGACTCCTGTAGTTACCGGGCTTTTGGCCACTGGGCGGATGGGCAGGCCATTCATGGACGTGGGCAAGAGGAGATTTGGGGGGAGGAAAAGCCACGTTCCGTCGAGACTACGTTGCTAGTCAGCCAGTCACCTGTCGGAGGGGCAGGAGGATGTGCAAGTCTGGAGCTCGGAGACAGGTCGTGGCTGGAAGGATGGATTTAAGAGGTTGGGCGTAGAGATATTTGAAACCATGGCGCTGGGCCAAAAGGGAATGCAGAGAAAGAAGAGCCAGAAGAGGCTGGGGCGGCGCCAACATGTAAAGATTGAGCAGAGGAGGAAGAAAGAGCAGCGAGGCAATGGGGCCGTTTTCTGTGCCAAAGAAATACGTTATATTTGGAACCTCAGCTCTGTCTACTTGTTCTCACATTTTTATCGCGCAAGAGATATCTTTCGCTTTGCTTCTCCATGGGCAGGAGAGTTCCCTCCAGCGTACCCCGCCTTGGGCAGCGTTCTGCCGGCAAGCCCTGAGTCCCCGTCTCAGACAGAGATCTCGCAGCGGAGACTGAAGGGCCCATGAAGACGGGTGAAGCGTAGGGGGCCCCGGGGTTGCAATTGCTTGGCTCTTCCTCTAGCTGCAGCGGGTCCCTGGGATCTACCCGGGGGGGGGGGGTGATGGTCCCTTCAGTCCTCTGGCTCAGCCAGGGTGCAGCTGGGGCTGGAGGTGGTTTCTGACACACCTTCAGGCCCTCTGCTCTATAATTTTATCTTATTTGTTTCTAGAAACAGAGATACTCAGCCATGAGATTTTTATCTGAAAGCCATGATTTTCCATGGCCTTCCGGACCCTTATGATTGGAGACATTAGAGAAGGCTCACACACACAAATTCAAGACTGATAGTTGCCTAGGGTCATGGCCCCTGCGTTGCTTCATTTCTCCACGACTCTTCAGTGGAGCTTTGGTAACCCACTTTGCAGACTTGGGGGCTGGAGTCAGAGAGATCTAGGACTTCAAGCCCCAGACTTGGTACTTGCACCTAAGTCTTCTGCCTCCAGTGCCGAGCTGCCTGACTTTCTTCCCAAAGGCATTTTGCATAGAAATTATTCAATATTGGGGCACCTGAGGTCATGATCTCAGGATCCTGGGATCGAGCCCCACATCAGGCTCCCTGCTCAGTTGTGTGTCTGCTTCTCCCTCTCTCTCTGCTGTCTGCCCCCCACCCCCGCACTTGTGCTGTCTCTCTCTCTCTCTCTCTCTCTCTCTCTCTCTCTCTGTGTCAAATAAATAAGATCTTTAAAAAAAGAAATTATTCAATGTTAACATAAAAACATTTTTAAAGAATTTAGGAAAAGCATGATCAAACAAAAATATTCCCCTGTGACAGAGACCCTTGCTGAACTAGAAAGATCTCTGGTCCCTGAGCTCATCCCAGGCGCCTCTAACCAGGGGGTGGAATCTGCTCAGGGCCGTCTGAGCTGGACCTGGGGGAGGCTGCCACAGCCACTGACCCTCCCTCTGGGCGGTGTGCCTGGATTCTCTGACGGTGGGGACCCCACCACCCACCCTCCCTACCACCCCCAGCCCCGCCAGCCTCTCCTGCTACCCCTGGGCTTCCTCTGGGAACTCATGGCTTTTAGGGCAAGAAAAGCAGCTCCTCTCCATGAGAGTGGAGGGCAGAGAGCTGGTGCCTTGGCTGGAACTCCCCGTGCTCCCAGATAGGGCCTTGGGCCAGGCGGTGCCCCTCGCCACGCTCCTCCGCTCCTCGGCGTGGATGGCAGGCCATGTGCCCCGCGGTCTGGGTGGCTCCTCCTGGAGCTGTCCTAGTTCCCAGGGCTTCCTTGGCGGCACCAGGCAGCGAGGCTGCGAGGCGCAGTGCCCGTGGAGCCCACAGGGAGGCGTCCTGGTCACGCAGCGCTGCCCTGGGGTCAGGGAGGACCTTGCCGAGTCTGGAGCCTGAAGCCCGGCGATCCCCCTCGCCCCGCAACCCCTTCCTTGCTAATCTCCTCCATCCCCGCGGTTACAGGTGGGCGTGGTGGTGACCTTCCTGGTGCTTCTTGTTTTCTCCTACAACGTCGCCTTCCTGTTCGTGGGGACAGCCAGCCTGGGCCTGTTCCTCAGCAGCACCTTCCCCAGCATGCTGGCCTACACCGAGGACATCCTGCAGTACAAAGGTAGGTGTGCAGGTGTGCAGGTGTGCAGGTGCCCAGGTGTGCAGGTGCGCAGAGCGGAGAGCTACCCCCACCCCCGAACCACTTGCTCCCACCACGCCCCATCTCTCCGTGGTATCCCAGCTCTGCCGCTGCCCCCCTCCTCCCAGCAAGGCGTGCTTCCCCTCCTGACTGGTGGGAACCGGTTCCCGGTTCATGAGTGGGCTCATTCTATCCCACGTGGCTTTCCCCATTCAACACCGTACCTGTGTCATGTGACGTCAGGCCACGCAGAAGCAGTACACTTCTCTTTCCTGTTTTCGTTTCCGGGTGGCGATGTCTGCTGGCCCACAGCTGGCATTTTGTGTGACAAAAATTCCAAGTTCAAAGACCAGCAGGTTGCACAGGGAGAGTTATGGTCTAGGAAAGGGGTTTATAACTTATCAGCAAGAGGACCTCCTTGCTTTGCTCTTCTTGTGGATATGTTTGGAGGCCGAAGGAGTAGGGCAGCGTCTCCACCCTGGGTTTGGGGTTGTGACAGTGGGGTTCTTTGATGTCGGAAGCCTCAGATTCTCTCCACGAATCTCCCTCCGCTTTCTGTAGCTTCCCAACTTCATATAGCAAAGGCCTTTTTAAAAAGTGAGTTAATTAAAAATAATTATGTTGTGAACATTTAGCATTACCCTTAGAAGTAACTAGAGTGCCCTAGGGTGAAGGAAAACCAACGCTAAGAGGAGTGATTTCTCTAGGGGAGGAGGGGGTGGCGGAAATGGGTGTAGGCGGCGGCGTGGGGGTGGCCAGAGCAATTAGAGCTAAACCCACTAGGAGAGGTGGGAGCCTGAATCCTTGAAACCTAAGGATGATCTCCAAACCCCAAGCGCCTAAGTGAAGCAGTGAATTAATCATCAATTAAGCGTCACACGTCACACAGAAGATCCCCGCGTTTTAAGCAGTCGGCCCGTGTTGGAGGATAGAGCTACTGGCTGCTCAGTCAGGAGAGGATGCAACTCCTGACCCTGGGGTTGTGAGCTCAAGTCCCACCTTGGGTGTGGAGCCTACTGAAAAATTAATTAATTAGCTAAGCCAAATGTTAGAGTGTAATAACAATAATTGGGATTGGTTGATTCTGCTCGCAGGTGATCACTCAGATCCATCCACTTCTCCTCTCTCACCATCTCGGCCTTCGTTCAGCCTTCCCCGTCCCGTGCCTGCTTGGAACACTTCACGGTGCCCAGCTTCTAATCACCGACTTCCCTGCCTCGGCAGGTGCCCACCTGTCCCCTTCACGTTTGCCTGCCTTGGTGGTTCTCAGTGCCGGTGCCACATTAGAATCCCCTGGAGCACTTGTCACACCTCCGCTCACCCTGCTCCCACCCAGGGCCTGCATCCTGGCCTTGTGAATTACTGCCGTTCCCTGCCTGCAGCGCCCGCTCTACGCCACCCGCCCCTGCACCTGCCTGCCTACTCCAGTCTCTCTCTCCACCCCTTCTGGAAGCTTCTCTAATCTCCCCTGGAAAGATGTGCCCCTCCCCTTTGTACTTGCCTCTCGTGTTTGACCAGCCTCACGACTTTTGTACCTGTTATCTGTGTCCTCTCCTCGATGACGTGTTCCCTGTGGGCACCAGCAGGGGACAAAGGCAAGAGCGTGCGCTCTGAGGTCGTTGGCAGACCCGAACGCCAGTCCTGCCTGCACACTTTCTGGCTTTGTGACCTTGTACGATTCCATTTTGTTCCCCTTTCTTAGCCTCGGTTTTCTCACCTACAAAATGGGGATGCACATACCCACCTATCGGATTGTGTGTGCATTTGAGGGGGAGATATAGAACACTTGGCTTAGCGGCTTAGTGGACTCACAGGTGCTCAGCAGACATGTCAGCTCAGATCACCTGAGTACTCTTGGCATTTAGCTTCATGCCCGTGCACAGAAAGTACTGGCGGGTTTTTGAATGAATGAGTGGACTAGGCACGGGTGCTCCTGGAACTCAGAGAAGGGAACGACCAGTGTTCAATCCCCATGTAGCTTCACAGAGGAGATAGGACGTGAACTGGCTCAGGATTTGGAAAGGCAAAAGGAAAAAGGAAAGGTGCTCCAGGGCAGGGCAGGGCAGGGGCAGGGGCAGGGGACACTGTGACAGCAGAGACAGCGCTAGGTATAAATATAAGCCAGACCAAGAGAGGAACTTGAAGCACAAAGTAGGCAATGATGATCCTGTTTTATTCAAAAAACACAAGCACCTACCATAGGTTGGCCACTGGGCTAATAGTGTGTAGCCACTGAACGAAAATTCAAGGCTCGGTGTGCTCTCATGGGCTTGCAGCCCCTCGGGGAAGGCTGCCTTGCAAACAGGCAGCCGGGTAAGGAGGAAAAGGTTGGAGGGGCCGAGGGAGACAGACAAAGAGCAACTTCATGCAGGTTTAGGGCCTGGGGGAGGTCTAAAGGAGGAACTTAAAAGGTGAACAGGAGCTTGGCAGATGGAGAGGAGGAGGAGTAATGCTCAGAAGGCAGGGAACGCACGTGTCAGAACCTGGCAGGAAGCAAGCTGGTTTCTCGGCGCTGGAGGGTATGGAGGGTAGATTGTGAGCAGGTTCAGAGGCGTCTGAGCTCTCAGCAGGGATGGGGTATAAAGGGCCCTGCAAACTACTTGAATGGGTGTGGACTTTCTCCCCAAGGCAGTTTCCCGTGTGCCCACACAAGAACCACATGGGTACCACATGGCACTTCCTGCAGGGCCACCCTGTGGAGGAGTTCATGCCCATTTTACAGAAAGAGGGACAAGTGGCCTAATCTCATGGCTAGTAGCTAACACAGCTGGGCTCGGGACCCCAGACCCTAGTCTGACCCTGAAGCTTGGACTCGGAGGGTCTGTGCCACGTTGCCGGAGCAAGCAGAGGTGTGGCCGGTCAGTGCAGCGCCAGGGCAGTGAGGACGCAGGTCTGCCCAGAGCCGAGGGCTGGCCAGAGGAGGTCAGAAAAGCTTTCTGGAAAGGTCAGTTGCAGTCAGATTGGGAAGGACCCTTCCTAATGCCAGGCCGAGCAACTTGGAATTTACCCTGAAGACAACCCTGAGTACTTGAAGGTCCTGGGACAGTGAAAGCATAGTGACGGCAGGACCTACCATCCCCAAAGCAAAGTTAAGGACTAAAGTCTGAGAAATCTAAGGAACTCGAAGTAGTCCTCTTAGGCAGTCATACCATTTTCCAGAGTCTTCCCAGAAATAACTGGGCTCATACCAGCCGACTTCTGGCTCCTTACCTTGCTTTTACTAACCCAAATCCTTCTCTTTTGGTTAGGCTGTGCGACCACGGTGCTGGTGACGGGGGCAGGAATTGGTGAGATGGTCCTCCAGATGCTGGTTGGTTCGGTATGTGGGAGACCCTAGAGGAAGGGGCCGGTATTTGGGGAGCCCCCCTCTGAGCAGGTGGGAAGAAGCGGCCAGCCACCTTCCGAGCCCACCCTATCCCTTCCCCGAGGGTCCCACTCAGCAGGCAGGGCCCCCTCCGTCTGTTACCTGTTTCTGCTTCTGAGCCAGCCTTGCACACTGAACTTCCGAATGTGGGACCTGGAGATGTGAAGGGATGTGGGGTACAGTCCAATGCAAACACAAGGCCTGTCTGGGAGTGGGGCCAGCAGGGCCCCATGGGAATGTCACTTCGCTCCCAGAGCCTGGGACGGGATTCAGTGGAGTCGGGAGTTCATTTCCCACCCCTTCTCAACCTGCCGTCCCCACCCCACCTCCCCCAGCCTTGGCCGTCCTCCACGGGGCCCGCCGTCCTGCCCAAGTCTGCCCTGATCAACAGCCAGCTCACCCACTTCTCTTCAGACATCCCCACGTCTCCTCTGTTCACCAGGAAAAAAAAATACATCTGCTTTTTATTGAAGACTCTAAGGCATATATTGTTATCCCCCTTTTATAAAGGAGGATGCTGAAAGTCAGATAAACAAGCAACTTGCCCTTGGCGGGTCATGCTTCTAATAAGTGATGGGACATACAAACCTAGGTCTGTCGGTCTCTCCCAAATGTCCCTCATCACAAACCTCCTTCCCTCTTCTGGGGCCCTGCCAGGAGGGGGAAGAGCTGCACTGAAATGATGTGATGTCTGGGGTTTGCTTCAGTGTAGGGGTACAGAGGAAATTGGTGCTAATCACTAACGTCAGTTGATGGGTCCATGGGAGTTCCATAAACTACTTTGGCCTGTGCTTTAAATTTTCCAGAGCACCTGGGTGGCTCAGTGGTTGAGTGTCTGCCTTCAGCTCAGGGCATGATCCCAGGGTCCTGGGATCGAGTTCCATATTGGGCACCTCACAGGGCTCCTCTGCCTATGTCTCTGCCTCTCTCTGTGTGTCTCTCATGAATAAATAAATGAATTCTTTAAAAAAAAATTTCCACGGTAAAAAAAAAAAAAGATACATATACAAAATCCTTTGCAAAGTTCTGGTTAGGCCTTGTAGGCACAGAAACAGTATGATCAGAATTTAAAGAAAAATATGGAGATTTTCAGAAGGTTCCAGGGACTGCAGGGGTCATGAGGTCTCACCCCTGCCTCAGAGCAGGACTCCTGCCAAGACAGCCCCCCTACCTACCCATGATCCTGCCTATCGGCGTGATGGCCCTCCACCTGACTGAAAAACCTGCCAGAGGTCAGAGAAAGCTGCTTCCTCCAGTACACCTTCATGTGAGGTTTTGATGGTCTGTATTTGTGTTTTCCCCTTTGGCAGATATTCCAGGCTCAGGGCAGCTATAGTTTCCTGGTCTGTGGCGTGATCTTTGGTTGCTTGGCTTTTACCTTCTATATCTTGCTCCTGTTTTTCCACAGGATGCACCCTGGACTCTCATCAGGTAAGGAAAGAATCTGTTTCCCCACAGAGGAGGAAAACAGAGTGGGGTGAGGCTGTGGGAGATGCCATAGATCTTAGCACGCCACAAATGCCATTATGTTCCAAGTAAAATGCAAGGAAATGTTTATTTTTCTACAGCTTCCTTTCCCTCTCTTCCTGCTGTGCCATGCAATTGTCCGGGCTGGACTCTGAGGGCAGGAGGGAATGGGATAGGCTGACTCATGGCTTCTCCGTTAGGAGAGGGGCATGGATTGTGAGCTTGGCTTCCTGCATCCCACCAAGCCATGGGACCACGGGCCAAGAATCTCTTTCCAGCCCATGTGGGGCCCTGAAGGGCAGAGTCTGCCTCCTTGGCTGGAATGCAGCCCAGAAGCCTAATTGGCCACCTCTTTGCAGTTTAGGATTTTGACTCCGGTCCAGATTTCTTTTTCAAAAAGAAATCCTTTAGGCCAAGTGGCAAAGGAAAGCTCTTTCAGGGCAGAGGCGCCTCCTAAGAATAGTCTCATTCCTGGAGACCCCAGGGAGGGGGAGTCCCAAAGCTGTTTTCATAACCCTGAGCCTCCCTGCCTTTGCCCAAAGATCCCAAAGTCCCAGCAAGTATATCAGCTGTGCATGGAGCCAGTTCTTAAGGAGCCAGGCAGAGCCCTCATCCTCTCCATAAACGCAAAAAAAATATCACAAAAAAGAGTGGAAGGGACAGGCATCTGTAATCCTATCTCTCAGGCGGCCACTCAGTGTAAAGGCCCAGAAGAATAATGGGGGCCCCGTAGTTAGCACACACTGTACCCTTACCCTGCGCCCCTCTCGGGGGGCAGGTACCTAGCCTGGCACTCAGCATGGAGGCTTCACTTAGGTTCCAGAAGCGTTTGTTAAATATGCAATGAGTAACACCTAATGAGTTCCCTATTCGTGGGAGACAGAAAGAAACCTCTATACCCCAAGTCCTAGACACTAGTTTCAACAAACTTCCTCCACCAACGGATGGTTTGCCAGAACTAGTAAGTCTGACTTTCTGCTTGGCTCCCTGAGGAGCCATAGAATGGCAGAGAAACAAAAGCCTGGGTAAGCTCTCAGATGAATACTTGCTACAGCTCATAAACGCCGCTACAACACGCTACCTGTTTTTCCTGTTGTAGTTCCTACCCAGGACAAAGCCCTAGGAATAGAAAGCCTGGAGTGCTACCAGAGGTAAAGCTGGGTGAAGGGGGCCGGCGAAGACTTCCGGCCTTTTGAGCACACCCGCCCAGGACTGAAGTGTTCAAGATGCTTGGGGGTGGCGGTGGAGGCCATCTCTCCACGCCTTGGCTTGGATCTTCTCCGCTAATCCTTGCTTGGGTAGAAGAGATTAAATTGACTTCTGGTACCTGGATCCTCCCAGGGCAAATCATTAGACGTCTACTGGATGGGTGTTCAAGTTCCCTTCCTCTTCCCTGGTTCGGACCTTTGGTCACAACTGTCCAGGATACCCAGATGGGAAGGAAGAAGACAGCCATACGCTTCACTCCGTTGGCCACCTCTTGCATGGACCACACCCTGCCTGGGTTTAAAAATCACTTTTCATTGAAGTTTGGAAGAATAGGTTGAAATTGTAAAGTTCAATGATCATTGCTAGATGTAGATATATTTTAAATTAGTCAAAAACAAACCCCAAGTTTATGCCCTGGCATGCTCAAAGGATTGATGTTGCTTTTTACCTTTTGAGAGTCCAAAGTCCTGCAAATTCCTGTCGCTGATATCAATAGTTCATTTAAAATCTATAGCATCAAAAGGAAAAGTTGACTCTTGCTGTCTTTGGGACCCTAATTCAGTGGTATGCTGGGCTAGCTCAGACTATCAACAGCAGATTGGTAAAATTTCATTTTGAGAACTGGCTGTGAAACACGGCCGTTGTTCAAAATCAAATTATAGAAACTTACAATTAATTACATTAAAGACGAAGGTAGTGACCACTCAAAACCCATCACTTCCTTAAAGTCATTTATGTGTGTTGCATCTGCGTGGCGGAAAGGTATGCTTCTGTGCATCTCTTCCCAGCAGCACTTTCAGCGATCATGTGTTTGGTGGCTTGAGATAAGCCCTGGGGGTGGGGTATTCCCCCCACAGGACCTGGCAAAAGCTGTCCATCCTGGCTTCCTCCCACCTCCAGCCGCCAGAGAGCCGGGGGTGGAAACATCTACCGGCATACCACTGCTAACAACAGTGCTAACCGGCCCCGAAGTCATCTGGGAGAACGGGACGAAGATTCTGTTCTTCTTTACTGACGCTGACAGTGCTTATAAAAGGTGTAGAAACGGCACTAAGAATTTCTCCAAAATATCTAATTTAAACTCGACATCTTTTATAGAAGGGCACAAAGCTCTTTATACCACGTCAAGTTGTTTTCTTTAACAAAAAGCTGGGACTGCCTAGTGATCCTGAGGAGGACAGGCTCCTGCCCAGGGCAAATCCCCCAGCAGCACAGAGAGAGTCCAGAGCTGCCGCTTGGAGAGGGTAAGAGCGCTGAGGGGTCCGGAAGCAGTGAAGTGGCTATCACAGTGACAGCACATGCATTTACCTGCAGTTTTCCTGTGTATGTACAAATGTACGTGGTCAAACAGAAAAAGAGGATCAAGGTTCTCAGGAGCTGGTCTCAGCGGTCTCGCAGATCAGTAGCATTGTCCTGTAAGCCGCTCCACCTGCCAGCACCATGTGTGCCCAAGGGACTCCGGCAGCCCTGGTGTGAGCCCTGGCCTCTCCCTCTAGCTGCATGGCCCTGGGCAGATAGATCACTGATGCTCTTCCGGCCTGGTTGTTGCTGTTGTTTTTAAATCCAAGTGACATTTCTAAAGGAACTGACCCTACCTCAAAGGAATTCTGAAAGAATTAAGTAACTTTGTTTGAAGCAATTCTCATTTGCCTGACACAGAAACTGCTTAGTAAATGTTAGCAATCTTTATTTTTAAGACCTCATTAGCAACTTCAAAATGGCTCATATGTTTGGTACATATTTATTGTAAGTCAAGCAGATCCAAATTCTTTTGAAAGCCGATGGTCTAGGGGTGTAGTTTTAACTATATTTGTAAATACTTAAAAGTATTTGATGGCTGCAGACTTAAATGTTCAATCTAACCGGAGTGAGTGACTGACCTGGACAAAAAGAAAGTGGTTGTATTTTTCCTGTGGTTTTTCAAAATTAAAACACACACACACACACACACACACACACACACACACACACCATCCTTTTTATACAGATTTACAAAGAAGAATCATTGGCTTAATCTAAGATGTCATGATTAATTTAAGACTATAGGAAAACAAGATTGAAACAAATCTAAGTGTATCTTTCCTGAAATAAAATATTTTAAATTTAATAAGTGTGTTATCCATTATGGACAATTGAGCTTTCATATGAAGCTCAGAAACAAATGATCAGATATTTCCCAAAGAGTGGGCTCTCTCAAAGTCTAGGTTCACGCGGCCGATATTTTAGGAGAAACAACTCTCAGGACTAAGAATCACTATTCCCTCTTAAATATAATCAGAATAGGAGAAGGCAGGTAGGTTTTAATGCGACGCTTCAGAATCAGTTACAGGGCAAGTAGGGCTTTTCACCTGATCTCCTTCTGCTAAGAGTGTTGACGTTTCAGAGTGCGGCAGGAGCCTTCTATCCCCAGCTTGGAATCTAATCCATCTGGATGCCAGACTCACTAAAGGAAGACAGAGTGACTTCGAGGTCATTCAGAGGATTCGTTTATTCATTTTAAAAAGACGTATTGAGTACCCGCTGTGTTCAAGGCTGTGTTCTGATTAGGTGCAGAGATACAGCAGAGAATGAGCTAGAAGTCCCTGCCTCGCAGAGATTACACCGCAGTAGAAAACAGATGGACGGTAAGAACTACATGCCACAGGATGAAGGATAATTGAATGCCACCGAGGAAATACAGCAGGGGAAGGGGGTGGGAAGAGGACTGTCCAGAGATGTTCTGGAAAGCCTTCATAAGGAGGCACCATTTGTGCTGGGACCTATACAATGCAGAAACAGCAACTCCCAAGGACCAGAGAAAGAGCCAACTGGGCAGGGACCAGGGCGAGAGCAGCGCGTGCTGTCCCTGAGGAGCAGCAAGGGGACCAGTGGGGCTTCAGTGTGGTGAGGAAGGTGGGTCAGGAGTCGGAAACAGGTGGGAGTGGCAGCCAGGGGCCAGATCATACAAGCCAGGGCAGGAGCACAGATTCTGTGGTTTTTATGAGATCACCAGGAGTTACGAGCAGGCAGGGTGCGTGGTCTCATTTACACAAAGTAATACTATGGCCGATGTGTGGAGGAGAAACCGTAGGACAGACGTGAGACCGGGACACCAGCAAGGGCACGACTGCCTAGACCTCGTAGGACAGGACGGTGGCTTGGACAATGTTGGTAGCGTCAGAAATAGCGAATGTGATCAGATTCAAGCTATATTTTGAGAAGTCCAAATTTGCTGATGGATTGGGCATGGGTGTGAGAAACACGGGAATCCAGGATGACCCAAGGCATGTGGCCTGAGTTACTCCATTGTCCACTGGCAGATGGAGGGGGTGGTGCTCAAGAGTTGTTTCGGACATGTTCATTTTTTGATGCTATCCTGGATATCAAGAAGGCTGGTAAGTGCAAGAGTTTAGAGCTTAAAAGTCAAGCCCAACAATAAATTTCACAGTCACATACACTTAGCACTTAAAGCCCTGAGACTGAAGAAGAAGACTGCCTAGAGAGAGAACGTAGGGAGACTAGAAGTTTGGGCCTTGCCAACCTTCAAACCAAGGTTTGAAAAAAGAATATGATCCCAGCAGAGCACGTGAGAGAAGCCACGAAGTAGGAGGAAGTTCGGGAGGGGTGTGGTCTCCTGGAAGGCCTCATGAAGAGCATCTCAAGGAGGAAGAAGTAGCCAATGCCACCGTGAGGGCTAAACATCAACCACTGGACTGGGCAGCATGGACAGTGACCTTGATAAGAGCAGGGTTTCTGGCAGCGATGACGTCTTCAAAGCACATGGGAATCCCATCAGCTGTGATGCTCCAGCAACAACCTTGACACCAATGCTCTCCATCTGGCAGAAATTATCTTTCCTGTTTCATTTTTCATTATACACCATCCTCTTAAGATTATCCCAAAGGAAGTCACCCTCAGGGACTCCAGTAACAGGGCACATTGCCCTGAGCACACGGCTTTCTAGGGACCATCATTGTGAGAGCTCACAACTGGTAACACAAGTCCTGGGAAATTACCCAATGTTAGGCTATTATTTTGTCATTAGATGCATCTATGAAATACAGAAAGTCATTAAAAAATGGACATTATGCCCCTCAGGAGGATGTGTCAACAATCAGAAAAGTTAGAAAATGGTAGATCAGACAAGCTTTTTTACTGAAGGATTTTTTAAAAAAGATTTTATTTATTCATGAGAGAGAGAGAGAGAGAGAGAGGCAGAGACACAGGCAGCGGGAGAAGCAGGCTCCATGCAGGGAGCCTGATGGGGAACTCGATCCCAGGACCCCAGGATCACACCCTGGGCTGAAGGCAGGTGCTAAACCACTGAGCCACCCAGGGATCCCCTACTGAAGGATTTCTGAGAGCTTTAATATTTTTTTTTTTAAGATTTTGTTTATTTATTCATGAGAGACACAGACAGAGAGAGAGGGGCAGAGACACAGGCAGAGGGAGAAACAGGCTCCATGCAGGGAACCCGATGTGGGACTCGATCCCAGGTCTCCAGGATCACGCCCTGGACCGAAGGCAGGCGCTAAACCTCTGAGCCACCCAGGGATCCCCCGAGCTTTAATATTCTAATATGCATTTTGAATCTCCAAGAGGTGGTGACCCCATTTCCCAAACTTAATCAATCTCATGAGACTATTGTTTCAGGTAATATTATTTTGACCACAGTGGTTTAGGAGGATCCAGCAGTCATCCGAAGTGGTTCCTACTCAACCACCTGAACACAGCTTCCCCACCACCTGAAGGGACGCTTCACTGCTGTCCTCAGAGAACACTGACTCTATCTTGTCATCCACACCTGGAGATGGGAGACAGACCTCTGTGATGTCATGTGTGCCACCTGTTAACCCCACTTTCCCCATGGAGATTGTATCAACTCAGTTCTCAAAGTACCTCATTCCATTTACTTCATGAACTCAAGTCTCCGGTTCCTTATGTTGAAAACTACACAAAGAAACAATGCTTAGAGCAGAAATAGGCAAAGCATGCTTCTCACAAGGGCTAGAATGAATCTGATTATATTTTTTAAAATTCAAAAGTAAAATAAGAGATTTCCTATTTCCCAAGATTTTTTCCCATAAATTCCTTTTTATGTCAACAATCATTTTACAGTCTCCCCTTTCCACCACCTATATCCCAACTCAGTCTTTATTTATTTTTAAAACTTATTTTATTTATTTTTATTTTTTTATTATTTATTTATGATAGTCACAGAGAGAGAGAGAGGCAGAGACACAGGCGGAGGGAAAAGCAGGCTCCACGCACCGGGAGCCCGACGTGGGATTCGATCCCGGGTCTCCAGGATCACGCCCTGGGCCAAAGGCAGGCGCCAAACTGCTGCGCCACCCAGGGTTCCCCCCCAACTCAGTATTTAAATATTGTAATGTAGAGATGTATCAAATTGTTGAAGGCTGGGTTTTAATGATAACCACTGGGAAACTCAACTTTTACCTTACATTTATCTATTTAGCACGGATGAACACAGAATCCAGAGGCCACCTCAATGGATGTGAGAAGAATAATCAATTCCAAAAGTCATTTTGTTAAAAATATTTATTTAAAAAAATACAATTGTTGTCCATATCTAGTTGCACATATATCTATTAACATTATCTATAGAGTTTTGGACTTCAGTAAATTTGCTACAGTGCTTTCTTAAAGCTGGCTTGCCATTATACAAAGCAAATTCCTCTGTCAGTTTCTGCATAAAAATAGTTGTTTTTAACATATCATCTTTCTAAAAAGACGCACATCACCAATACAGAATTTAACAAAATTTTTGCATAAAACTTGAAGGGATACAAAAAACTATCACCTGATTGGTCATCAGAGCAACCCCTCACTATATCTGGAGATGCACTGAGTATTAGCTACACTTTTCTCTTTTAAAAGCAGCATATCACAAAGCCCTCAAAGTGCTAGCACATCCTCCTCCTCACCTCCCTATGCTCTGTGTGAAGGTTCTCGGCTGCATTCAAACAGAATCCGAGACTCTGGCTATAGTCAATCCTAATGGACCTTAAAACAGCACCCCTTTGTTCCCCGGATAGGCTAGGTCAGATGGCTGAGCTAGAAGACACAGCAGCTTCTCTCCGGCTGCAACACCAATCAGTACGATTTTAATAAATGTTAGCAGCTACCATCATTTTAGTTGTGGTTTTGGGAAAAAGAAGAAAAAAAGTGATTTTAATACTTTGAAGGTCTCCTTAATGTAAATTACACCGAACCTAAGACAGGTTATTAGTGACACGTTACCTGTCCTTCATTCCTTTGGGCAAGTGTGCATCTGCATTACACAGAAGCGTTCCACATACACAGGAGCGGTGGATACTGGACATTGTGAGAGAGAGAGTTCAACAAACAAGGGGAAAAATAAACAATGAAGGAACCGTCTTCTCAGTCAGGTTGATACAGGCTGGAGGAAAACACCCTGACAAGATCTTATTACCATATACCCTGAACTAAGACACAGACATAAAAGAATACTCATCTCTGGTGTTAATGCCACAGCGGACTATGCTTTTCTTCTGCATCAGACACGGGGTGGATGAAAACCAAATGTTTACTATTTAATAACATTCAACTTTCAAGTGATAGCCACACCTGAAGATCCAGTAGGGCTCATAGAAAATTATTGGTTTGTTCTTCAAGATGCAAATTTATGCTTTTTTTTTTTAAGCCAACTAGATTATCTGGTCAATTAAGTGTAAAATTCTAA